CATGCTGGCTGGGGAATTCTGGGAGTTGAAGTCCACATATCTTAAAGTTGCCAAGGTTGAGAAACACTGGTCTAAATTGTGCCACTTTTGACCAAAGCAACTCCACCAAACAGTGGAGGAATATGTTGCCAAGGATGTGTTGGGAAGATGGGTTATGATCTGGGGATTTAGTACAAATGCGAGCTGATGCTGATTGTCAGAACGGCCAGGCCCAGATCCTCCCCGGCACTCCTCAAAGCAAAATTACAGACCTGACTGCAGCAAGAGTCACAGTATTGCTTCAGCCCCGTGTCAGCAAACATCTTGTCTTTGAAGCACGCCGAGCATTCCTGAGTGGCAACGTCGCCGCACACAAAACACTCCCTGGGACCTGAAGTGCGAGTGCAAGAATCAGCTCCTGAATCTTTCTCCCTTTACCTGCAACCCGCAAAAAGCCGGACACCGAGAACCAGGAGGCCCTCTGAAGAGGGCTTCCTGCTGCCACAGCCAGATCCAAAGCATTTTGCTGGGCAAATGCCTGAACTGCTCCTCACCAAGGTCACGAGCAGGGATCTGGGGGTCCCTGTGAAAAAGGGGGGCTTGCAGAAGTTCTCCTCTCAGACAAGAGGCCTGGCAGGTCTCCAGGTCCTCATCCTGACCCCGTTCTATGATGGTTTCTGCACAAGGGGCTCCTGTTACCTTAGATTTGTTACTGCAGCTTTGCATCTCCACGACTGACAGAGACCAGGCCTGTTACACATCAAGGCTTTCACATACCCAGTCTGGGCCTTGCTCTTTGTGACCATACCCATGTGCAAAGGGTTTAGGGCATCTCTCCAGTTTCTTCCTCCTCCTCCTCCTCCTCCCTCAACCCCCATGGTGCTCACAGAGTCAATGCAGCAGTGAGGATCCTCATGGTGGCTGGTCTTGTTCAGCATGGCTCACTCAGCTCGTGATGGAAGGGAGGCATTTTGCTCATGCCAGGCAGCTCACGCTGGCTTCTCTGAGCCATGCATCTCTTTCCTGGTCTTGGGAGAGGGGGCTCTTGTTCACGCCACTGAACGGTACTGCAGCCTGCATTATCAAGAGCCCCCTCCCCCCCATTCCCAGATCACAAAATAGCTACATGGGATGGAAAAGAGGTAACAGCTGCAGATGACTGAGATTTATTTACTTATCATATTTATAGAGCCACCCGTCTCACATAAAGTGACTCCAAGATGTCACAGAGAAGGCAGCAGCCAATGGCAGATCTTCGCAACGGGCCTGACCCAGACAACTGCTATGGGAGGAAGCAGGAGGAAGAGGCTGCGGGAAGAAGGGGATGACCTAACTGCCCAATTCCCAGACTCAGGGTCTGAATATGCAGTTCTGTTACCTGCAGTTTTACACTGGAACAGGGCCTCCGTAAATAAACAGAAGCCTTGTACAGGTATTAACCACTTGCAATGGCGTGCACAGACTCTTGCTGCTTTGGGAGCAGACGTGCAACACCAAGATGCGCATAGGAAAGGGGCAGGGCACACGTTGTGACACTAGAATCCTGCTTGCATCACTCTGCACCCCCTGCCCCCACCCCCCGCAGATGTCAAAGGCCACCTACTAATGCCCTCCTGGTACGACAAAACACAAATTCCATTAACCTGCGCAATTTATTCTGTGCACAAAAGCTACGCTCAAAGAACCCGCTACTCCAAGTCCTGCCTAACCATGGATGCTGAATAAATCAAATACTCTCTGTGCTTCACTTCTTACTTATGCTTAGCAATCTTGAGGGCTCCAATTAAGAGGGAAAGGGGACATCCAAAGAACAGCAACACAAGGAATTGATAGGCTGGGATGAGACCCTGTTTCGGCCCACTTTCAGAGCTGGACTGAACCTCCAGGGCCAACTGTGGGACCATCACCAGCTTTACGCACTGCTACTGCAACGCATCACTTCCAGAAAGCCGCCAGGACTTTTGGCGAGCGTTTAGGCCTCCCTTGTCCAGCAACTTACTATCCAGCAGCAGATCAGTGATATCCAGCTCCAAGGAAGGGATGATTTTGCTGAACATTTTGTACTCCTTCCCAAAACGCGGCATTTGAAGGATAAAGCAGGATGGGATCTAGATGGAGAAATGCGAATGAATGCCCCGGAGACCAGGGGCAGCCACGGAGGGTGGAGGCAATTGAGACAAGTGTGGACTTCGCCCCAGCACGTGGGCCTGTTCTCTCCCAGAGGCCATTTGGGTAGACAGCTCTTCTCCTCTCTGCCCAGGAAGCTGTGCTGCTGAAGCTCCTACAGAGCCCCTTCAAGTGACAAGAGCCTCTTGGCCAACTTTGGACCACGTCACCCTATGACCTCCCTCTCCAAGTGCTAAACCTGCTCCTGTAGGGCTCCGTCCATTTGGAGACAACACACTTAGTCTTCATTCCTGGCACCCTGGGCTCCAGAAAGATCCAGCAGAATGACACTGGAAGAGTCTTGTCCAGCTGAATAGATCAGGTAAGGGAGCCTCACATCTGTCCATGGAAACAGTATTTCTAAACCGAGTATGACTACCTAGCAACATCCACAGGGCCTCCTACTGGGCCAAAACCCCCTGGCAGCACTGTTTTTTCTAACTGGCAGCGACTCGTGTTGAAGTTTCCACAGAGAAGGTTTTTCTATTGCCTGGAATGGAATCCTGGACCTTGACCAGACCAAGCTACGCCCCACTGCTGAGGCCACTCCCAATGCCTCAGACTTTTCGTGACTGCTGGTGACTTCGTGGATACATTCAAGCGGTTTTCTTAACAAGATGGAAATGGATGGCCAATGATGCCTGATTTTTTTTTACTTCCCAGTCTAGTCTACAACCCTGGGATTTCCCTGTGGTCTCCAATCCAAATACTAATTAGGTCTGACTCTGCTTAGCTTTTCAAGTTCGGCCAAGGATGTGCGGGTGGCATTTTTTGCCAGAAAGACCAAAGCAGTACTGTGTTGCAAAGGCTGCCATATGGTGTCAAGACACACAGAAAAAAGGGGCGGGGCTTGTGTCATGATACCGCTTGCACCACCCTGATCCCCTGCCCCCGCCAATGCCACTGGCCACCTACCAACGCCACCCTCACCCTAGCCCTATTATGACAAAGCATACGTTCTGCTGATCTGCGAAATTTATTCTGGGCGACAAATCAGGGCATATGGGCTTGTGTTCCAACCACCTGCTAATCCGTGTTCTGCTTCATCACGGATATTGAATACATTCCAGCTTGCTGGGTTCGTGCAGGTCAGAAAGCCACAGAAAAGCAACGGTTTGCATGTTTTGTACGTACCCTGCCAGGTAGGTTCTGCCAGTACAATCCACCCTCCAGTGAAAACCCAGGCCAATCCACCCTCCAGTGAAAACCCAGGC